AGAGTCTAAGACCACAGGTCCTGGCAGAGAAGTAAGTCTAAGGCCACAGGTCGTGGCAGTGAAGTAAGAGTCTAAGACCACAGGTCCTGGCAGAGTTGGCACGGCCGTTTGGGTCCGAGCGCCCTGCATTGCCCCGGGTGCCATCTTCCTTCACCAAACCCGGTCCTCATCCTCGTTTGGACCTCAGCTCCGCTTGGCCGCCCCTCTGTGGAGCCCCGGCCTGGGCCTCGTTGGAGTCGTCACTGGACCCCACACGCCCTCCTTTCAGAAAACTGGCACGCGCCATCGCATTTACCTGCTCGTGTCTGGAGCTCTCCAACCCACTGGAGAGGGGGTCTGGTGGTGCACAGCATTAAGCACGCCACTCTCCACGGAAAGCTTGGCAATTGGAGCCGGAGGAAGACCTGGTGGTCTGTGCCAGGCACGATGGCAGCCCAGGAAACCCGATGGAGAGTTCTACTCCGTCCCACGGCGTCGTGATGAACAGAAATCGAAAGCAAGTGAGGTAGTTAGTCTGAGGTAATGAATAAATGCACCATCACGCCTGACTAAATTGGAGCTTCCCTAGGGATCGCTGGAACGATCCAGGGTCTGCAAAACCACACTCTGCCCTGGATTAAGGGCTTTCATTGCCGGGAGGGCGCTGAGTAATTATTTTTCGGAAAAGGGGCCAGTAGGTCAAACAAGCTTGGAAACATCTGGTCTAAATGCTAGCAAACCCGGCACAACAAACTGAGCGCCTCCAAGTGGCAACACAATGCTTACTTCCGGTGCCATATTGTACTGCCCTGGACACAACAGCACCAGCTTGAAGAGAAATACCCTGAGAGATTCAGGAGCTAAATGAAAACCCTGCAGGCAAGCCATGGTCATCAAGTAGATTCTGACTCCTCGTGACCACGTGGAGGGGTCTCCGAGGCTATACACCTGTATGAGAGCACGCAGTCTCATCTTTCACTCTCCCGGGCAGGTGGCTTTGACGCTCTCACCTTGCAGTTAACACTTATTGACTGGACAGCACCCTTAGGGCACCGCGGGGACAAAATACACGTTTAATATTGAGCAGGT